TTCTTTATGGGAATTGAACCCAGGCCTCAGATGTGCTATGCAAGTGCTATACCACTAAACTATACCTCCAGCCCTTTTATAAAAATGTAAGCTAAAACATTAAGTACAGGAGGGGTCCCCCACTCTCTTTTGATATAGTCATTATTACTGAAGTGTACATTTCAAAAATTCATTAGTGACAGTAGTTTTTAGAAGCATCTCATAACTAACATCTCATGAACTAAGTGGTAAAACTGGATTAGTATATAGAACTACAAATGTAACTAAGATGTGATCTTATCATTTTCTGTTTTAATATCATGAGAAGGAAGTAGAGGAGACAACTTTGCATTATTAGAATTATATTTGGAAGCTCAACCATTAGGCAAAGTAAACTACATTAATTTCTTAGCTTTCTGATTAATCTAGAAAAAAGCAGGTTGATGGTCTGTGTGAGGTTAACCATATGAGTGGTTTTTCCTTTTCTAGTAAGTTATTGTTTGTTCTTCCCTCATGCCCAACCCAGATACCAAAAATCTAATTTTCTAATGACATTATATTATCTCTGGCAGCTGGTTTCAATAGAGAATTCTAGGTCCAGTAAGGTCAGCAGCAAATGACCTTAGAAGGAACAAGAATCTGGTGTATTTTTTTTCCTAAGTAAGAGATGTGAAAATGATTTTTTAAAGTTTTATCTCAGAAGTTAGAACAACATTCAGAATATCTCTGGATTTTCTGTGTCTCAAACATGAAGCACTTACACTGAGCCCAGTGTTTTTTGCAGTTCTGGAGGGGGCTGCAGAGAGCACAGCTAATCATGGCCCCTGCCAGTTCTCCCTGCCAGGGTCAACTCTAGGAGGATCACTTCTTGCCCAACCTCTCTTTCCTCTTCCCTGGGTCCTTGTTCTGGGTCTGTCTTCTCCTCTGTTCTGTCTGCCTCATCTCTTCTCTTGGATTCTTCCCAGTCTTAGAATTCCAGAGAGAAACGGATGGGAAAGATCTCCTTAGTGTTCAAGGTCCTGTTCTGATTGTGGGCTAACCGTGAGGATTTGGAGCTTATGCAGATTTCTTTGTTTTCTGAAAGACAAAAGAATACACAAGTGAAAGGGTTTTTTCAGGGCACTGAAAAAAATTAGATCCATTTCTGGTGCCTCACCTGAAAAATTCAGGAAAACTCACTAATAATCTACTATTTAATGCTGATTTTTAAGATAATGCCATTTAGAAGAAATTTTCACCTTTTTGAGTAACATTAGAACAACTTGTAACATTGCTTGGTGTTGTAAATCCTATAAAAAATCTTGTAAAATATAGAGATGGCATTGCCTGCACCCATTCTTAATGAGACTCAATTATAATGGGACTCTTTCCATCTTTTCACTCCTACCCAAAGCCTGTTTCTTCCTTTTGCCATTCCCTAAAAGCTTTCTGCCTGCTGTTTGGTTATTGCTGCCATCTAACGTCTCAAAATAAAATTGCAGTGGGTCTGCCTTTTCCCGAAAGATTCACACTGTTCTGCAGTTTATGGAAATTACTGTTGGAGGGTGTAGGGAAGTTCTAGCTTTCTCTCTGGAGGTTTGATACACAAGTGAAAGGGTTTTTCAGGGCACTGAAAAAAATTAAAGTTGAAATTGAGTCTGCTGAAATAAACGGACAATAATAGATTAACAGGAGAAAAGGCACACAGATTCATTAATATGCACACGTGCATGGGCCCCACACAAAATATGAAATTCAAAGAACAGCCAGATAGTTGAAGCTTAAATACCCTCTTTATAGGGGAGGGAAAAGGGGAATGTAGGCAACTTTAGAAGGGTAGGAGATGATTTTTAGGGGAGATGAATAGGCCCAGAGTACAGACAATGCCCTCAACAAAGTTACTGTAGCCTCTAGGTGTGGAGTTTGGTTTTCAGCTTCCTCCTCTGTGATGAGTTTAATCTTCCTTGGTAAATGAAATTTCAATAAGAAGATTGAAGGCAATTGTGTTCTTCTTTGGTGGATCCAGTTTAAGTAGATAAGGGAACTTCAGAAAAAAGCCTCACCCAGAATCTGTTGATTCCCAAATGCCTTTGATTTAAAATTATCAGCACTCCAAGGCACCATATTTTGGGGGATCATTTTCTGAACACCAATAAAAGCAACAGCTGTTTCTTCCTAAACTCTTGAATAATAGCACTCCAAAGTGATGACTTTTTGTGGAAAGATGATAGGTAGCATGCACACCATAGTAAAAGATCAATCAGTAAAGCAAGAAGGAAGTTAAGTTACCTCATGCCAAGTACAGGATAAATTGCCATTGTGACCTTCGTGTATATTTCCTCTCATAGAATTGGACTTGATGCTCTGAAAGGCCTATTCTAGCTTTAACTTTAAAAAAAAATATCTGTACTTACATTAATAAAGGCATAGTTCTGTATATGGTACTATTTATTTCTTCAGACTAAAGTTTTCAGTGTTGAGCATGTTTTCTTATAGAGAACTAAGTTAAATAGATGTTCCCTTTTACATTGTGTGAATAGATAGCATTGATAGATTCCCTCTGTTCAATCAGCAGAGGCAGATCTGAAGACTAGCTATTGTTAGTGCAGCCTGAACCACAGCAATACTTACTGCTTGCATAGTTATTCATGAACTTCCTGAAGTTCCTGTGCCACTTGCAAAGCTCCCACAATTAAAAAACAAAAGCAAAAATTCTTACCACATCTGGATTTTAAAAGATTTATAAGTGTACTGTTCAATTTTTTTTTTTAGCATTTTGAAATGTAGCATTAATACTTCCATAGGCTAGAAAGAAATCTGAGGATAGAAGTCTTTCTAGATATGGTAGAGTGAAGGGAAATGGAATTTGCCCTACATGATAGATTAAAAAAAAATACTGAAGAACATTACCTCCTGGAAAAACCTTCCTTGAGGATTCTGTTATCTTGAACTGACTTTGTAAAGAATATTTTGTTTATGTGTAGCATTTTAATAGGTATTTTGGTTTCTCTTGGTCACATTTTAAATAAATTATTCATCCTTTATAATTCCATAGTGGTTAGGGCAAAGTCAAACGAATATAATACCTCACCTTCAACTAGCTTTGACTTAATTGTTAACAGATATTTTATAGAATTGATCCCTGGGACCCCCATTGGAGGGGAAACCTATTGAATAAACTAAAAATGAATTTGCACCTGCTGTTATGTTTAGATACTATCTCTTCTCAAATGGGCATAGATCTAATTAAATACAGTTTGTTTTGCCATTATCCTTTCTTACCTATTTCAGACAGGTTTCAGTGGTCTTGTTCAAACCATCCTGACCAAATTTTGCAAGTAAAATCTGGAGACCCACAGAGCCTCAAGAGCCTGGCTTAGCTTTAACACAGAACCCTTACTGAGTTCCTTTGAACCCCTGATTTTGTTAGTCTGTTGAAAAAGTTATTGTCAGGTTACTGTAGTTACCTATAGTTACCTTAGTAGTAATTGAAGTTACTACTATTACTCTCAGGCTTATCTGGCACAATTGCTTGTAAGTTTTGGCAGATTGATCATAATTTACTATCTTCTTGCAAATCAACTTTTTTCCTCTAATACTTCAGTTTTATTAAACATTATTATCAGATTTTTGTTTATTATCCAATTATTACTGATTTCTGGGGGAATTGAATCACAGATGAAGATGTATGACAACTTTAATGTACTGATTAAGAACCTTGTCTCTGAAATACAATTTTCTGAGTTTGAGTTCTGCCTTAGTTTGTTCTATGACTTGAAGTCAAATTATTTAACTGCTGTGAACTTCAGTGAGAGAGAACACATTTTTAAAAAGTGAAAATTTTTAAAAGGGAGACAATAATAGGAACTACTTAATAGAATTATTTTGATATCTAGATAGGTAGATAGATAATCCATTTCACAAGTTATTTAGTTGATACAAATGTAGAAATAGTATATTTATTTTTTTCTTTGTTTTTTGGGGCAGGAGTGGTACCAGGGTTGGACCCAGGGGTATTTAACCACTGAGCCACATCTCCAGTTCTTATTATTTTTTATTTTGAGACAGTTGCTTAGGGCCTCGATAAGTTTGAACTTTCGATCCTCCTACATCAGCCTCCCCAGCCACTGGGATTACAGGCATGTGCCACCATGCCCAGAAGTTTTTTAATTCCTGTATTTATTCCTTTTTTGGGATTGTCTTTGCCTTTCCAAAGTTAGAGAAAACCACAGGATAGCTAAGTATTCAAATCATGGGCCTAATTACATATGTTTGTTCAGATCACGTCAGTAGTTTTAGAGCCTCAACCTTAAGCTAGGTGACTGGGGAGTCGTGAAGCAAGGAAGACTGAGACATGACTTCAGCCTTTGATGGGTGATTTATCAGAGGTATTCAGTCTCACCTATTTTCCTGGCTGCACATAGAATCCGTCCCTCAATTCCCAGATGAAGTCAGGCTCTGCTGGAACAGGCTGCCGTAGCACTCTGCACTTTGTCATGAAATAATTGTTTGTGTTGGTTGAGCGCCTTTCTATTCCTACTAGATTGTGTACTCCATCACATGAGAAGCAGTTTCTTTCTACTTTTCCCAGTGTCTAGCACATGTCTTGCCCAAAAATATATGGCAAATATTTGTGGCATGACTACACAAGCTCTTAAGAGTGAACAAAACGAGATGCATGTCATATGTGACTTATACTGCACTATGAAAACTGAAGATGTAGAGAAGAGTTTAGCAATATCTACAAATAACTGTGTTGCAGAGGGAGAGTACACATCTCTCCAGGGGCCGTGGAAAGTAAAAGGTGAGTAGAAGTCCTTTTGACGAGGGTTCGATGCTAACTAAGTGTAGAAGAAACGAAAGAAGAGACATTTGAACTGGACTTTTCAAGGGTATAAAATTTGAATAGAAAAGTGTGGGAAAAGTTACCCCAAACATAAGCAGTATTTTATATAATTGTATCATTTCTTTATAGCTTTAATCTCATTGTTTTCAATAAATCTGTAAAATGTATATTAGCTAACAATTTTGTCTTATTTCAGTGAACAATGTGGGAATCTCATATGAGTATCCTGAATACTTTTTGGAAATTCCTGACTTGGACAATGTGAGTCTTTTTTTTTTTTTTTTTTTTTGTCTGCTATGGTAACAAAAAGAATGCATGCAGGTCTTGGTAAGATAGTATTGTATAATGATTCAGTCTGTGAGCACTGGAGTCCAGCTGCCTGAGGTTCACACTTAACTCCTCTGTTTACTACTTGAATTCTCTGGGGAAGAACCTAACTTAGTTTCCTCACCAGTAAAATGGGCGGCTTCATAGGAATGTTAAAAAGATTGAATAAGAAAATGTTTATGAACTCATTTACACAGTGTCAGTATCAATAATAGTTCTAGTTTTATTTTTTTAGTATATCAAGACAACTCTATTTTAAGTATTAGGATTCTAAACATCAATTTAAAAATCAAATATGTTAATATCTGTCAGCATGATTGATTCAGGTAAAGCGTCTCTACCAGAAGGAAAACTGCGTCCCTCATATGCACATAATCCTTTAATGAAAATAAGGAATGTATGTCATTGAAGGGCTATGTAAAATTTTTTCAAACTGTTGAAAATCTTAGACTCAATAATTTCTACTCTCCATATCAGGAGAGAGGAAATTGCAAAGTGTTCTATTTATATTGGATTTAATGTGTCTTTTCACTTCCATAGTTTACTTGCACGTTTACCTTGTCTTTTGCATATTAGCATGAATTGCTGCTTTTGTTAGAAAAATAGTGTAACACTAAGAGTAAGATAAACTCTGCCTCTCCACCCCAACTCTTATAATTTTTTCAAGGTCTTTGCAATATCCCATGAAACTTCCAATGTATCACAATATTACTTGAGTATATACCTAATATGATCAAATCTATATAAAATTATCTGTATTTTTTTTCAGGCCATTAAGAAACTGATAAATATTAATATTCTTTCTGTTTGTAAGGTAAGTAGCTTTGTTAGAAATATGTCACCTTTTTGGTTCTTTCTATTAAAAATCGTGATTTGTGGTCAGATGATTTCACTTCAGTCACTTAGCATGTGTTCCATTTGAAAGGTGTGTGTTTACTTATGTTCTCAGGAAGTAGAAAGAACTGACCACCAAACAAGTATCTGTGTTATTCACTTTCTAATAACCTAACAGTTTAAGTGTCTTCTACATGCAAACCCTATAGTATGTCCTGAGACTACAAAAACAAACTTAAGCTGAAGATTGATTGACTTCATCCACCTGCTATTCATCACTGATAATTTTTTTTCATTTTGTCTCCCCTGCGATTCATTTAAATTGATAGCTTAAATGTCATGGCACAGCATTGTATGGAGAATATGGGACCATAAAGTAATGAGAATGATGTTTGTAGAAACCTAATAGCCAAGCCTAGCTGTGAAGTGCTAAGCATGTATCATAGCCATGTCCCTTGGATATGCCAACAAAAGACAGCACAGCTGATACCGCTAAAAGGAACAGTAGCTAACAAATAGAAGTATCTCAGCACTTATTTTGTTTAGTTGTTAGCAGTAACTAAACAAAAAAAAAATGACCATACTTTGGTTTTATATACCAGACCAGTGAAATTCTGCCTGAGGCATAATTCCCATGAGCAATATCAGATAATATATATGTACACGTTAGTTTATATATACACTATGTATGCAGAAGTATATATGTACTATATATGTGAATATATAGCATATATAACATGGTGATAACATGCTTATACATACTAATATATACTATATTATACACACACACACTAGTTGAAGGAAATAAAAAAGGTTTCATTCAGAACTCTTAATTGATCAGATAAATATAAATAAGAACTGGTTGTTGATTTTTACTTTATGGCATAGTCTTGGTATTTATTGTGAATGTTTAAAAGAAAAATTCTTTTCTTCATGTGTCCTCATGTCCTAAGAGAAAGTATAACTTTCACATGTTTGATTTCAAGTCCAAGAACCCAGGAATGTCATGCCTTGCCCAACTTTCCATGTATGGTTATCCTTCTCCCTGTAGAACGCATGTGTTGTTTGAAAGTGTTAACTAGGTTTTTTAAGGCAAAGAATGTTTGGTAGCTTGCTACTTAAAGACACCTCAGATGAATTATATTGTAAAATGACAAATAATTTTGCAAAACAAATAGTTATTCCCATTGTATCTTCTCTCTTACTGTTATTAGCCAGGTTTTTTTTCTCACTTGAGATTTGGTTTAAGTGAGGTAAATCAGTAACAAGTGGATCTGAGTAGATGTGGAGCAAGACCCACATGCATAAAATTGATGCTTTAAAAATGCATCAATTTAAAATGAACTTATCTGTTTGGTTTTAAAGACATCTCCCTTATATTTGTGTAAGTGTAATCATTCTTTAATAGTCTGTATGTGGTTTCAAGATAATTAAATAACTACCATTTACTATTTATATCTGACCTTTGACATTTTACTTAACCTCTGTGCTTCAGTTTTCGTCTGTAAATTGAGGATGATAATTCTCTTCACCTCATAGAATTGTGAGAATTAAATAATGTAAAGTGTATAAAACTGTTAGAAGAGTGCCTAGAATATACAGTAAGTGCTCTAAAAATGTGATTGTTGTTGTTGTAAAATGTGATCGTTGTTATTCAGAGCTGATAAAGGTTTTTTAGTAAATATGTGTAATCATGATTTTATATTTTTAAGAAAGCAAAGTGTTTTGGGGGCTGGAGTTGTGGCTCAGTGGTAAAGCACTTGCCTCACATGTGTGAGGCCCTGGGTTCGATCCTCAGCACCACATAAATAAATAAAACAAAAGATCCATTTACAACTAAAAAGTATATTTAAAAAAAAGCAAAGTTTTTTGATCAAAATTAATATCACTTCTAGTCTGTAATTCTGTACTTTGTTATTTTGCCTTTTGAAATGACTGATGTGTACTGTTACTTTCATATATCTTTTCTGGTACATTTGGCCGAGTGTTTGAAAATAATGAGTGTTAAAACAAGGCACACATGTTTCATAATATATTGTACTGAGTTAATGAGAAAATGTGTTCAAGTGTTTAAATTTTATTTGACAGAATTGTTAATACTAGCTGCAAATTTATTCTCTGATAATTGTAACTCCTCTGTCAGATAAACTATGTAGGATTCTTACTGCAGATCCAGTAATACTTTCTTTATAAGCCCCTGCTTGTCTGCCCTGGGGTGCTTGTGCAGTCAGCCTTACGGTGTAAAACCCTGGCCTCCTCTGTCCCTAGAGCATGCATTTTTGGCTGGCAGTCTACAGAATACTAATGATAAAAGGCCAAGGTCTGGCCCTTAATCTGGGAGGACTAGTGAGCTTGCTCTGCACCACAGCCACAGCTGTGCCCTTCATGCAGCATCTGAACCCAGATCAGCATGTGCAGCAGCGATCACATTACGCCCTTGCTTGAAGACTACACGGTGCTGGGGGCAGGGGGTGGCAGTGGCAGTGACATTGTGGGTAAAACAGCACAAACCCAACAGCACTGTGAAGTAACTTGTATTTGATAAAATACAAAATGCTTCTTCCCCCTCTTCATTCTTCCTCTTCCCTTCTCTTTTTTCCCGTTGTGATGTACACTTGTTCTCGTGAAATGAGGTAGTGAAGACAGATGCTAGTTTCTTAATCGCTTGTGGGCCATATTGATGGGAACCAGGAACAGCCGACGAATGGATATATGCTTAAAATTTTTGTATGCAGGCCTTTATTGAAAACCAAATCCCATTTTAAAAGCACTAAGGGAGTTTGCTATTTAAGATATTTCTTCACTATGCCAAATAATCAGCCCTTGATTGATTTTTAGTATGAATCTGAATTTTCCCGTACCTTTGTGATGTGCGCGTGTAATGGGAAAAAAATTCAGAATTCTTGGTTTATGAAATCAAAGATTCATGGAATTAAGGTAGTATGGAAGTCAATATGTTTTTATGGTGCTGTGTGAGTTGATGTGGTGTCACCTCTGCAGCACAGTTGACTAGTGGTCATTCAGATATGAGGATGGTTTGATTGGAACAGTGGGAGTGTAGTGGCAAACTAGAAGGCAAGCATTATCTATAAATGGGATTTTATGAGAATTAAATGAATCAATGCATGTAAAATGTCTAATTAGCCATAAAAAAAAAATCTAGAAGGCGAGAAAACTAAGTTAGGACAGCATCGTGCAGGAATTTGAGTGTTGTGCTCCACAGAACGGAGATCATAAAGTAGAGGTAAGATGTGAGCCACCGTGTGGTACAGAGACTTGATTCTCGTGGTGGAATGACTGGCAATAGGTATTTTATGGCATTTAAGGCATTCACCTTGGTGAAGTTTTGTGTATGACGCTCCCAGGTTTAGGGCTCTCATGCTGCTATGATTTGCTCTATAAGATATTTTGATGAATTGCTCCTATCATTCTTTAGTTGATTATGTTGCCCAGGTCAGGGCCACATTTTTCATAGCAATGACTTTTGGAGCCCTGGAATAACTTAAAAGGCAGTGAAAAGAGGTCTGGCTACAGAATCTTAGAAGGTTTTTTTATGGTAGCTGGAGGGGAGGGGATGGCATGGGTGTCTGCAGCCTAAAACTACAATGAATTTATCAAAAAACCTTATATGAGAATGAAAATAGCCTCTTCTTACCAGCAAGAGTGGTCCAAGTTTTATTTCCACACCAAACCACATGGTAGGGATGACTGGCTGAGGAGTGTCTGAGGAGATGCTGGTGAAATCAGCTTGTCCTGGGACTTTGGGTTTGTGCCCCTAATTTGGAGGACTTGCTGAGTAAGGCTCCAGCAATTTATTGCAAGGCCTATGCCATGCCAAGAGCTCTGATCAAATTGTCTTTACGTTTCCTTCGGGTTCACATTCTCCTGTCCTGTGTGAGCAGGTCATGTGATTACAAATACCTCTTAAGTCCCACATTCCAATAGAGGAAAGATAAAAGTACACTGTCCTGAGATCAAGTGAATTTCAGGTTATCATTAGATAAGTGATGGTGATGTGTCCAGGGGTATTGCAGAAGAAATACCAGAACAGTTGGGGCTGCAAAGCACTAACGTGTAACTGTGAACAGCCCTCTTTCCATTGGATTGTTCCACTTTTTAGTCTTACCCAGTAATTTTGGGTTTATTCCTTTCTCCCCTCTCAGTGGCCTACTTAACAGGGCTTCCCCTTCCCTCAGATGCTTAGAAGCCTCGTTGCTTCCCTTCCCAGTTTTGCTCTTAAATCCTTTAGGGACAGGTTCAGTGTTATTCTTCTTCCTTAAGTGGTGTAGGAGCTCTGTGTAGGTGACCAGTATAGCAGGTAGACATTTCAAACTGGAAGAGAAGTCCTCCAGGTTGGGCTTTTTCTTTAGGATTTCAGATGCGCTGTGACTAAAATCTAAGGCAAATCTGGTCTCTCATCAAGAGCAATGATATTCACTCCATAAATGGTGGAGTTTTTAGACAGCTAAACCTCAGGATATTGAACCACACTCTTCTAAAATATTCCAGTTTTATCCCTGGAGGGGTTTCCATCCCATAATATTAGAGAATTTGCAAATGAAATTGTTTATCTACAATTGATTACCATTGGATAAATCATAAAAAATGGGAGAGGTGTTGTAGTTCCAGAGGCAGGCAAATATATGTCTAATTTCAAACAGATTGTACACTGAGCTCCATCAATCCAAAGACAAAACAGATTTTGTTTGTACCATTTGTTTCGGACTTGAGATCGCTTATTCTAACGAGTCTGCCAAATTTGGGGTTGCCTTCCTACTCCCAGCTATACAGTTGTTTGATTGCTTTCATCACAATTTTAGGACCTCAGGACCATCAATACTTTACTCCTTTTCACATGAGCAACGTCCAAACAATATTACCTGAACTGCCTGCAGCCCCACTGTTTCAGTCAGCTTTTTTAGTGCTGTGACTGAAACACCTGATCAGAACAATTGCAGAGGAGGAAGAGAAATTTGAGGG